AGCAAGGCCACAGACTGATCGAGATTCGATAATTGATCGTAGTTTATTGTGTACATCTATACTATAAAAACATGCATTTCTATATTACTTGATGTAGATATTGTTAAATTTGAAACATATTTTAGTGCTCCATGCAGTATAACATTATCACAATTTGGAATATCTATGAATTAAAGAGATAAATATATAAAATACTCTTCATAATAACATAACGAGGTGAAAACAACGAATATCCAAGAGATATAATTGATTCTAACTCAGGAAGATCTATTATTATACTTGTTTCAAAAACATTAATACCAGTTATAGATAAACTACAATTATCATTTCCCCATTGACCAAATAATGCAAATGATCCCATATTGATAGATTTCAATTTCGGTAAATCTAAGATAATCAAAAGTATACAATTTAATACTGTCAAATCGAGACAATATGAACAAGTGAAATGAATAAGCACCTAAATATACATATTCCAAATTGGGTAAATCTAGAATATTAACAATTTCAATATATCAATATAATACTTTCGATTTCAAATGATGATGATGAATAGAAATTATAGGAATTAGTCGAATTCGATCCAATTATCAATGATTGTAATTCGGGTAAACCATTCAATTCAAATTGACCTCCATAATCACTGAAACTATATTCTCCGATTTCAATTGATTCTAATTTAGCACAATTCAATATGTGGAATGATTTCGATTTATCAATATCATTGCCATAATTATTAGTATGTTGAGTAAATGAATTTGATCCGATTGATAATGTAGTCAATGATTGGAATCCATTAATTTCAAATATTGATGAATAACCGAAACATTCATTTCCGATTATCAATGATTGTAATGAATTCAAATTGGATAAATGGAATATTGTTGAATTTCCGAATGCTTCATTACCAATTGATAGTATTGATAATTTGGGTAAATCTAGAATATTAACAATTTCAATATATCAATATAATACTCTCGATTTCAAATGATGATGATGAATAGAAATTATAGGAATCAGTCGAATTTGATCCGATTATCAATGATTGTAATTCGGGTAAATTGTTCAATTCAAAGTCACCACCATAATCACTGAAACTATATTCTCCGATTTCAATTGATTCTAATTTAGTACAATTTAATATGTGGAATGATTTCGATTTATCAATATCATTGCCATAATCATTCTTTTTCTGAGTAAATGAATTTGATCCGATTGATAATGTAGTCAATGATTGAAATCCTTCAATCATAAATGTTGAGACTTGATTGAATTTGTTGTTTCCGATATTCAATGATTGTATTGAATTCAAATTGGATAAATGGAATATTGTTGAATTTCCGAATGCTTCATTACCAATTGATAGTATTGATAATTTGGGTAAATCTAGAATATTAACAATTTCAATATATCAATATAATACTTTCGATTTCAAATGATGATGATGAATAGAAATTATAGGAATTAGTCGAATTTGATCCGATTATCAATGATTGTAATTCGGGTAAACCATTCAATTCAAAGTCGCCACCAAAATCACTAAAACTATATTCTCCGATTTCAATTGATTCTAATTTAGCACAATTCAATATGTGGAATGATTTCGATTTATCAATATCATTGCCATAATCATTCTTTTTCTGAGTAAATGAATTTGATCCGATTGATAATGTAGTCAATGATTGTAACCCATTTATACTAAATGTTCTTGCTTTTGTAAAACAGTTATTCTTTATAATTATGGTTTTTAAATATGGTTTATTGTTAAGTTGAAAATGTCTTACTTCATTGTATTTATTTGATTCAACCACAAATGCAGTTTGAAACAGATGTGTATAGGGTGTTATATAGATATTTTGCACTATTGTACCAATTACACGAATTACCATTAATAATCCCAACACACAAATTAGTATTAAATGTATTCCATAAAGAGTCTTTCTATAGGACTGTCTTCTTTCGTTTTTACCCAGTTTATAATTTCCATTACGATGTAATGACCATGTATAAACCATAGCACTTACGAAATCCAAATCATGTCTTTTCCCTTTTGTATTATCACTTCTCTTGTAGTGTATCCATCGGATTACTATCAGTATTACCAATAATATCAGTAATGAAACTCCAATAGCAACATCAACTATATAACCAATAACCATTAGAAGTACATAAATTATTATGAAAGCTTCAATACACCAGAAAACAGGTGATCTTTTACCCAATGTCCACTTTCTTTCCTTAGTTGCCAAACCATTCTGGAATTTAGATCCTCTGCCATGACGTTTATCGAATTTGTAGTTTCCTTGAAAAATCCTTGTTTTTCCATCTTTTCCATATGCTGCTCCCTCTCCATTTCTTGGATATTGTAATTCCAGAGAATCTAAAAATCCGCCTTCATATACTTTGTTACCATTCTTATACTCCGTCATGATATCATCGCTGAATTGCTTCAGCAATTCTATTTCTTTCCCTTCTTTCCACAAACTTACACGACTTATCTTTTCTAAGTTAAATGAATAACAAATTCCATTATACTTTCCGAAATCATCTTTTTGACAAATTCGAATCAGTTTACCATTGTTATCATATTCTTTCCAATATCCCTTTCCGATTTCTTTCGATGGTTCTATATTTAGTTTCTTGCCTTTCGAATAATATCCATCTGATATTAGGTTTCCATTTCTGTCATATTCTTTTCCTCTCCCTTCGCGATAACCATTTTCAAAATTGCCTTTAAACCATTTCTTATTAACCTCATCATATAACTTGAAATAACCATTGTATGTACTTTCACATCCATTCTTCCAGTGACTCAATTGATCCAAATTGCCATTCTTATAAGTATAACAAAACCCATTATACTTTCCGAAATTATCTTTTTGACAAATTCGAATCAATACACCATTGTTATCATATTCTTTCCAATATTCTTTTCCCATTTCTTTCGATGGTTCACTATTCATTTTCTTGCCTTTCGAATAATATCCATCTGATATTAGGTTTCCATTTCTGTCATATTCTTTTCCTCTCCCTTCGCGATAACCATTTTCAAAATAGCCAGAAAAGAACAAATAACCATTATTATAAATAAAACACGGTCCTGTCGCTATTCCATCCACAAATGTTAGTTTCGCCATCAACACATTATCCTTAGAATAGATGCATGATTCTCCTTCCATTTTGGAATTCTTCAGCGTTGTTCTTATTAGACACCCTTCATGTGGTTTGTCCACCTCGATATTAACAGAACCATGCGTTTCATTGGCTGACTTGATAGGAAATTGTTCAGAAACATCATATTCCCACCATGTGTCAGCAATGTGGTTTCCAGAACCTTTCACACGAATCGTGGTTAGTTCAATGCCAGAGGCACAGTCTTCTCCCATTTTTAAGTTACTCATCATTATACTGATAATTTTCTTTGGATATAGAGTAATCATTATTCTATAATCATCAATGATTACTGTACATTGTACATTTCCTCTTTTTTGTTATTCTTTCGCGTCTTCTCGTGTAATAATCATTTTTTTCTGCATGTGTTTTCCAAGAATATTCAAGCGGTCACTCATATTTTTGTTCGATAGATGTAATTGTTCTTTGTTCAAACTATAAAAAGGCCATCTATTTACTGTACATATAGTGATAATATAGATTTGACACTGTTTAACCTTTGGTTTTCATTTGTTCTCTGTTTTCAAGGTTTTTAGTATTTCTTTTTGTAATTTCACTATAGTAGTAAGCATCCATATCGTATGTTGATCGAATTAAGCTGTTTCCTATGTGCTCACAATATTCCTCTTCTATTCTTATTGTCCATGTGTAATAGTGTAAAATCTGTCTATTCTAAGTGGAATTATAGTTTCCATACCTGTAGAACATAATGCAAGCTCCATTTGTTTTTATGTATCTCGAAATGTGTCTAATATATTATTGAATACGCTATGGCAATCGGTTAGAGAAGAATCGTGAATGACCATCATTTCTATTATGTCGTACAGGAATGTATTTTTTGCAATATAATCCACAATAATGAAATGAAACTGATAGAGTAGTGCATGGAACATTATGTCGATAGTCCATCATCGATTTCCTTGTTCTTTTTGAAAATGGAACAGATTCTAAAAGTGTTTATTCAACCTGCGAAATACTGCGTGATAACTCAATGTCCTCCTTATTTTTGCTGTTTTCTGGAAATAACATCCATATTCTTTGTAATTCTATTACTTCACAACATCCCACGCCATAAGAAGTCTATTTCCAAAAGAACTTCACACTCTCTTGGCAACTCAACCTCCAATCTCCTAAAATATTATGATGCTATCACTGCCCTAACCTTCTCCATTCTCATTAACGCAATTCAACATTTGTTTTCCCACAATCAAGTATTTTTACCCTTCTATCATCTATTCCTCTTTCCTTCCAAATCTCCTTTCAATTATGTGTTTGTCACACAATCACATTCTTCTTACTACTCCTATTACATTATCAATTCTTTTTCCTTTGTATGTCGAATCCACTCCAAATATTAAATCAGAGGAGACGAAAACGCGCGTATTGTAAAAGTTCGGTTCCTTGAACCATAGGGAACAATTACGTCTCCAAGAGGAATCCAAAAACCCAAGGAATAATAATCCAAGTTTTATTCACCGAACGAAAGAACCTCTACCAACTGTTGATGAACTCTCTCCAGTAAATACTGTTTGTCGTCTTTTCACACAGATTGATACGGGAATGTGGTCTTCCACCCTTCAGCACACCGAAACCATCAACAGTCCTTAAATTTCACTCTCTTTCATCTAGAATCTCCAGTTACATCGACTCGCATTCCAGTTATTCGGTCTTTCGGAGAAAAAACCATTTACTTCCATTCTTATACCTTTTGAAATACCACGCTCCTTCTCAACCCCAGTAGCTTTCCAGGAATCGAACAAGGCGATATTCTTTATTTCCAAACCTCCAAAAACCAAAAGCCCACGATCTATTTGGAAGTTGGTTCGCTCACTGCTGTTCAAAACAACGTCGCAATCAGTATTCAAGAAAAGCTGGGCCGCTCATTAAACCTCCTTCCTCAACAGGTAGTGCAGGTAGGTTCCTGTAGCCGAGAATCCGTCGCTCTCAGCTCCATCGAGATCATCATCATCGCTGGCTGTCTCCCGCGTCAGGAGATTTGGCAGAAGATTCTAAGCCTCCAGCAGCAGTTTGTGTACGTGCAACAACACTTAAACTCGATGAGTGCGAAATTGAGATCACTCGCTTGACCGCGGGAAATCGCACTGTTTTCGGAGGTGTGATAACCGCGGAAACGAATTGCTTTTTCTATCGAAATAACTGCCGAATGTATGTGGTGGTGCACATAACGAGGGAGGTTTTGTGTATGGATTCGAGCGGGTTTCTTCGAGGCGAAATCGTGGCGGATTCGTGTCTGCGAAAGATCCAAGAAATGTGGAAACAGGGAAACACGCATCATTTGGTAACAGTGATGCTGATGATGCGTTGGGTTTTTGAATGTTTGTTTCTAACGAAAAGATTTGGACATGTTTCATGGGGAGTCGATTATTGAGCAACAATCCAGAAAGCCGTTTGTGAAAGTACAAAAATCGGGGCTATTTTGCTCAGAATAATAGGTGTTGTGTAAAGATCGAACGGACGATTTGGAAGACGTGAAGATCAAGATCCGCAAGTTTATTAGTAATATTGGTTCGGATTTGTTTGTTTTTGTGTGGGAGATTGAGAAATAGCAAAGTCCCCATCGTTTGCAATCAATTCGGAGAGAGTTCTTCGGATAAATGTAACGATTTTGAATCGATGGAACCTAGTTGTTTTGTCTCCTTCGCACTATTCTTCTCCACTCATTGCTTTCAATGTCATTCTTAAGGATATCAAACAAAACAAACGAAATCCATTGTTTGACATGAATGGATCCCACATTATCGTTATCACACCTTCCGTTCCAATTTATATCGATGATCGAGTTTCCTATAACGTATCTTTTCTATCCGAATTCGAACGCAGATGACACAGGACAATCTTCACGAAGCTGCTGTGGGCGTGGATTTGGTTTCGGTTGCTCCCATTTCACCCTTTCAAGCTCCTCTTTTTCGGTTGGTGATTTGCCTGTCTGTAATTTTCAGATTTTCAGTAGAGAAGAGTGATTCGATCGTTCCTGGGTTTATGCAGGCGATTTTCTATCGAACCGAAACCAATGGTAATCAAAATGGTGCCGATTTCTGGAATAGATTTTGTTCAATCCGTGGATGTGAATAAATGCAAAGGCAGTATCGATCAGATTCAAAAGCAGCTTCAAGGTTTCTATAAGCAATGCGCTTTGCTTCGTCCCATCCTCGAAGTTGATTCTGTTTGTTTGCATTCCTTTCTCTCTTGTATTCAGTGCTTCCCAAACTCCCTTCCGCTCTGTCCAGTCGAGTTTACTTCGACGATTTGCCGCTTCAAGGCATTCTTTCGGGTGATGAAAACGATCCTTCCGCCTTTTCTCCCGACTTGGCCAACGTTTCTTGTTCTGAATCTTGAGAAGCGTAGGTTTCACACATTCAACGCTATCAGGATTTGCAGTCCCAAACGAGCGGAACGCCTGGAGCGCAATTCAGTTTGGATAGCAGCTTTGGACTGGATAAGAACGTTCGCGAAAGCGAGGAATCGACTCTGTTCGAATTGGATGCAAAGGAATAAATCGTAGACACGAACCGTTTGGATCGCTGCGAGGTGAATTCGATTCGAATTCGATGAAGAGTAGAAGCTGGAGATACTCATCCGAGTGATTCGCTGCTTCACATGGTGGTGAGCTCGCCGGACTTGACTTTCTTCACCCAGAGTGTGCGAAACCGACCTTATAACGTGTATATCGAGGACTATTCGAAGCAGAGGTAGATCACAAAGGCGTTCTATCATGCGTAGCATTCAGAATAACGACGATATTCTGTTCTGGATCAACCGAGAACACGACAATCAAGTGGGATTTTGCAGAGAAACGAAACGTGTAGTACACAAAGCTCTTCGTTCGATCGCTGGTTCGCCCTTCGATTTTTCCGCTGGTCGTTTCGGAAGAACTGGCGAAGTCCGATTTGGGAGAAGGAGTGAAAGGGAACAACATTATCAGCAGTCATCAGCCACGCGATCGGCTTCTCATCGACTTCATTCGACTCCGTTTGTCGTACAACTTTCAATTCAAAGGCGTTTCTTTTGTTGGGGTGCGTGTTCATTCAGTCGATTCCGTCGTATTTATCCCTCGACGCCGCCACAATGGTGCTATACCACCGAGAGGAACACAAATTATCAGTGGATGGAAACAATAATGTGGTCATCGATCTGCAAGTAAGCGATTTCCGCGGTTCCTAAGGCTCAGTCGCGCGGTCCGCGTGTGGAAGTCGCTTCGCAAGAAATTCTATTCGAACATCCGTCTTCTCCGATCGCGGTTTTTAAGCGAATCGATCTGAGTCAACTGAACATCGACTGGAACAAACTCGATAGCGTACGCCTCCCATTTGCTTCTCCCACGTGCAGTCGCTCGTGATCAGTTCGCTCAGCGTGAAAGCCGTGCAGAGCAGTCGTCATTTCCATCGAGCTCATTTTGTTCTGCTGAATTCGCACTCCAAACACGCTCTTTACGATCTGTTTTATTCCTCTCTTCACCATGCGTTTTGTAACCAACCAGGAGTAACAGCCGTTCTTTGAGTTCTTGATATCCATATATTTGTGATAACATATCCATTATCTCTACTCTTCGAATCACTTATGTGCAATAAAGAAATGATTGGTGACTAACAAGGTCATGAATACATGATTCCGCTTTTGTTATTGAAGTACCTTGCTTTTAACTAAACTGTGTTGTAATATACGTGTTGTAGGGAATGGTTTAGGAATAGAAATCGATCGTTTTTCGCATCCTTTTGTTTCGATTGTTTGGTAACAATAGTTTGGAGGTGAATTCATTTTTAATCGTTGTTGTTTGAAAATTATTTTTCTAGGAAAAGTATATATTCATCGTCTGAAATGTCTATGCTGGTTCTATTTTCTTAATATCTTTGTGAATAGTGTTATCGGCAAGAGTTTCGTTCATCAGTCACTTTGTCTTATCACTCTTTATTGGTGTTTTTTTGGTATATATTCCATATATCACATCCATCCATCTATCATCCTAGCCAAATCATATTCATATAGGAATCATTGGATTGAATAAAACAAAAACAACCATTGTGAATCAAATCGAAATTGGTTGTGTTCCAGTGTTTTTCTTACAGATACCTTTCTTCACAAATTAATAACAAATGATTTCATTTCTCTAAACCAAAGAATACACTTTAAATATACTATTCTATTCTATTCTTTCAACAATCAACTTACAAAACCTTATTATTATTCTGTTCATGTTTCTAAATCATTCCAACACCCTACACACTCTAAATCTACATTTTCCTTCCTTCCTAAACACATTTTCGATTCTCATTCAAATCCTACAACGCTTCAACCATTCCACATCTCTACAATTCCATCCATCCATCCATCCATCCATCTTCCAAACCAAACACCGCAACCATTTCTCTCTCTCAGCAACTGCCAAATCGGTCTGGATCGTGGAAACGTGGAAACATCGCGACCCACGGCGCACCAGGCGTGATCGACGAGGTGGGCGCGGATGAGCGCGCCGGTCACGTCGTAGGCGAAGAGGAAGCGGAGGCGGAGGCGGAGGGGCTGTGTGACGGAGACCACGGTGGCGTTCTGCGCCCAGTTGGACAGGAAGAGATCCAGAGAGCCCGGTCGACTCTGCACACCTTCGTAGGGAGCCACGGACCCCACCCCATCGCCCACCAGATTCCTGCTCACTCACACCCACACCCACACCCAGAGCGAACCGGTGAGCGAGGAGGTTGGCTCGCCGTCCACCACCAACACCCAACGAATTCCGACGTGGCCATCGTGGACACTCCGAATTGCCTGCCCATCCACTCGGCACTGCCCACTTCGCTCGGGACGCACTCCAGCGTGTAGGAAGTCGCGGGGATCCCACCCTCCAACACGTCCCACACATCGCATCCCGCGGGGAACCAGACGGTTCGGCGGAAGGAGGAAGTGGCGGGAGCGCGAAGCTCGCACGTGGCGGTGCAGAGATCATGGAAGGATCCGGTAATCGCCATCGCACAGTCCCACTCAATGCCCTCCGCCTGATTCCACACACACCGCATACAGAACCGCGGGGATCTTCTCTTGGCGGGAGAGATACCCGGTGAACGCGGCCACGCTCAGATAGATGGGCGCGTGCTGCACGCTCTGCACGCTCTGCACGCTCTGCACGCTCTGCACGCTCTGCACGCTCTGCACGCTCTGCACGCTCTGCAGGTCCAGGAAGCAGTTCGTGCTGGCGACCTCGCTCTCGCTCTCGCTCTCGCTCTGGATCACGGCCATCGACGCCATCCACGAGCGTCGCACCACGTAGTACCGAATGCTGGCGCCGCCCAGCTCCGCCGGCTCTGCCCACTGCACGCGCAGCGAGGTCGAGGAGAGCGCGGCCACCTCG